AGATATTAGAGCTTCTATTGCAGTTTAATTGTTTATTAGTACTGAAGACTACAACAAATATTCATGAGCAACAACACAATGCAATAAAAAACTTATTGGAAGATCTTTCCGAACCTATGGATACTTTACATGCGTACTATAGCATGTTCAGTGCTCTGAAGGCACTTTTATTATGCGATACTTATGATACAAAGCAAAATGTCATTACGTGCCATTTCACAGACATGACATATTACGTACAAAGTATATATCCGCTTAATATACGGATAGATGTAATAAAGAATATATTTTCGTTATTGTTTTTAAGACATGAACACTTTGATCAGCCGCAAAAGAATTATGATACTGATGACACAAGTATCTTATGTGAACAAACAAAATTTGAGAATAAGTTATCGGAACAAAATTCTACAGGGTTCTTTTGTAACAAATATGCCGTAAGAGATATGTTATTCCATTTGAAAGAAATCATGTTAGTCACAGAAAGGGAATTCACAAATGTAAAACATGAAAATGGCTGTACAAACGCAGATCAAATTCAAAAAGACATCTCATTTATCAATGCAGCAATCGTGGACGCTGAGTGGAGATTAGAACTTTATACAAATTCACAATTTGTGGAGAACATCAATATATGTAAAGATGTGAACAAACATTCTTATGCTAAACTTAAAGTTCAATTAGATGGAAAACTGATTTCAAATCGTTTTAAACAACATGTATTTTTTCATCAAAAAGATAGCACATCTAACAGTATAAAAATTGGATCTGATAGTAGCTCAGAATCAGAACCAATACACAATAGATGGAGGAAACGATCTAAAAATACACTACAACCAATGGATGTTACAACAACCAAAGATACAGCATACAAACAATTATTTGTAAACTTTATGCTAGCAACTAAAGGAAGCCTGGTTATTCAATGTTTATGGAAAAACGATTATGACAAAGCAAAGGAAATTATAGAGGTAAATCACTTATGCGAAAAATATTTTTATATATTCCTTATTGCAGACTCAAACCGTTCAAATGCCTCTTCTTCAAATTCAGAAGGTTCATATGTAAGAACTTGTTGTTCTTTGTCTTTCTTCTTAATCTCTTTAGCTAAAGTACCTGGAGGATTAATTGCATAATACTGTTTCGCAAATAAGATCCTTTTATTAGGAAAGCAAAACTTGCAACGAAAACAGCAGCAACACCAACCTGTAAATTAATATATAGCTTGTACAAATTCTTCCCATTACTGTGTTAAAGTTAAAAGTGATACTGTAAATTACCTTTTTGACACCAACAAGGAATTGCAAGACATATGTAAATTAGGAACCAAATTTTAATAATTAGCCATGTTTTCTGCACAGACTTCTTTATTTCAGGTGGTTCGTGTTCATACTTATACAGCAAACAATCTATAGCTTTGATACCCAATTTTTTTGATGCTTCTGTACAATTTTTGAAATCTAGCAATTTTTCTAGTGTTTCTACAGGATATTTTTCCGATTGTTTTTCATCAGTATAATTTGACAGCAAGCTCTCAGTCGTATATTTTCCCATGAGTTCCTCGTATTCTCTTTTAAAGTTTTCATAGTCATATTCTTCTTCGAATGGTTCCACTTCTTTGGTATGCGCAGTAATAGCTTTCATTTTAATAGGTGTATATTTTTTAAGACCATCCGTAGTTCCATCATAATCATCGGTATTAAGAATATGTTCTGTCGTTACTAATGATGAAAGATCGATAGGTTTCATCTGAAAGAAGTCTTCTTTCTCCTCGGGACTAGTTTGATACTGATCATTCTCACGTTTCGCTTTAATTACTTCTTTGAACGAGGTTTTTATCTTTTATAATCTGGAAGTAGATATACATTAGAAGGACACTTTAATCACTTAGAAATTGTCGTGAATTAATTTTTAAACACTTTATCTAAGTCTTCTTTAAAGCCAGCAACAAATGATTCATCATTGTTCTCAACGTTAGAATTTTCCCATACAATTGGTTCGAATAGATTAAGCACATTAATATGTGCAGTATTAAGATTATTACGTTTGTTATAGTTGTCCACTAAAGAATGCAATGGTTTGTATCTACTCTCATCTTCCATGTAAAGTTTCAGGGTAGCGAGATCCGCAGGCTGAATCATTTCATTCTCATTTTGCTCATTGTAATCTTTAGTATCGGATGCAATCTCGAATGTATTTGTATCCTGAAAATTAGTCTATCTGGTTAATTACATAAGTTAAGTTAACAATAGTTAAGGAAATAGTATTATTCGATGATACTCAGCTTTATATAACGACACTGAATTAGCAGAGATAAATGAAAGTAGTAATCCAATTAAAGATTTTTGAAATAACATATTTGAATGTATGTAACGTTTTTCTTTATACCACAGGCATCTAACTTGAAAAATACTGAGCTGAATGGAGAACTGCAATTTTCAAAAGCACTGTGCATATTTAGAGAAAACATTTGTAAACAAACAAATACATTACAAGATAAAGATGTATCTAAACAGAACTTACAATCTGCTACATTAGAGGTATATTCCACATTAGTTAACATTAATTTTAAGAAACGTATTAAGAAATTATATTTTTTACAGAATTTAAGACAAGTTGTACAGGAAGGAATACTTTCTTCTAGACAAACTAGTCAACTTGAAACTTTTTTAGCATCCCAAGAAATTAATTTGCGAATGTTGAGCATGGATCTTCTTAGTAGCAACGAAATATTTGCAATATGTGTGTTAGATCTTGCTTTAACTATGAGTCAGACTTATTCCATCTCAAGCAATCTTTGTGATGTCGCATTGAAATATTTGAAACTATCTAAAACATTCGACAATACAGAATACGAGCATTTCTTTCTTAAGATTTATCAATTGTTACACGAAAACAAAGAAGAGTTTACTGTAGAAAATATACTTTGTGATGCAAAAGTTTTATTAAGCACGAAGGAGTTCAAAGCGAAAGAAGACTTCTGGACTGATATAGCAATTAAACATCAAGAGTTTAAAGAATCACAAACGAATAAAGATACAATTAGTAAAGTCCTAAAGAATAGTAATTATTTATCAGGTTTAAAAATTCTGGGCAAGATAGTTGTCTCTCCCAGCGATACTCGTAAATATGTACAAATTATTTATTCTCATTTAAAACTTTTACATGCAATTATTCCGAATGATCATCAGATACTCACAGTTTCCGATTTATTAAGAAATCCGCTGCATTATTACTTTGGTTATCAAATTTTTGATCTTAAAATTGAACTAGATAAACTCGAATCAATTGCACATAATTTGCAAGTTAATTTAGTATACAGCATTCTTAAAAATGCTTGTCCTATACAATTGTGTGAAAAAAATATTAAAAAGCCTGTCAAGACTAAAGAAAATGGATATATTATATTGAATAAGGAATTAAGTGAAACGGTAAGTAAGAATTTTTCAAAAATAATGTTTAATAATACTGAATAATATAGAATATTACTATTTTAGGATTTAGATCATAATACACAAGGTCCAAATGAATGCGTTTCAGAGATACTAACAGAACTTTTGGAAATCTTGCAAAGTATGAATGTGGACCAATTTTCCTTGAATGACAACGTTTGTGAATCAATTTTGAAGCATCCAAATATTCGAAATGTATTGAGTAAAACATCTCGTCTTGTGAGACTAGATCTAAGTGAATTATCCATGGGAGATGAAACATTGACGTTTCTTTTGAATACATGGAATCTTATGTTTCTTCATGCTAGCTTAACTATCTGGGCATATAATCCTCCCTTCAATAATTTACAACAAGCAGTTTCATTGATGTCAATTGGTTATTTAATCGGAGATTTGGGTTTAGTAACACTTGCCGCACTCAGATCAAAATTACTTAACAACGTTATGTTGAATAATAAATTTTTCATGGAACTTGAAGAACTTAACGAACCAATATGGCAAGATCTAGACATTACTCATGATCCAAAACTGATTTTCATAATGATCAGTGAATTTTATGGAACACCTTGTGTCCGAGTAAGTTGATCTCTTATTTTTATTATTTCCTATTTATTATTACAATATGCTTTGTTAATGAGTTTGTATGGCCTAGGTTTTTCATCCAAGAATGATAAATGAAAGTTTGAAGACAGCTCCCCAGGAATATCTCGATTATTATTCATCGAGATTTGAAGAGACTGAACAAAATATGGAAAAGAAAACAACAATCTTTCTGCCTGATATTGTAAAACAATATCAAAATATTATTTCTAATAATATGAAGAATGATACACACAATATTCACGATAGCGAAAATTTATTAATTGATGATTATTTTAAGCATTTAAAAAAAAATGCAATAATTCAATATATACCACCTTCGAATTCGTACAATGTAATATTAAACTACACATATTTATCCTATACACATACTGAAAGAAATGCTAATCCGGAGAAGAACATGCAGAAAGCTGACTCTTTACGAACAAGTTTGCTACAATATTTAGAGAGTTATTGTTGGGTTATATCTTATCTTGTACGAAGAATATATAACGAGAATCCGACTATTTTGGAAAGCAACTGTGATCATTTAAAACGGACTGCTTGTCTTGAAAACTTGTTGAATTCGTCTTGGGTCAAAGATATGAAATCTCTTTTTGAAAATAATGAAGCTCTAGCAGCTATTATTGAAATAGTACCGACACAAAATTTGTGGTCGCATTTTGAAACAACTTTAGAAGAAAATGAATGGCAGAATTGCTTGAAACTTCTAAATGCTTTGCCAGACAATCTGATCACAAGTACAGAATTACAATATTTTAAAGATAAAATTCTCAGCTATATTGCCTCCAAAGAAGACACCAAAATATTGCAATGCATATATCAAATTAAAGATATCTATATTTTAAGTCAAACAGTATTACATAATATCAATAAATGGAACGTGAATGTTTGTGTAGATGCTTTACTACATTCGGTGCATCATGTGGACACTTACAAATTGCCTGCACACTGTAAATTGCAATTAAAAGAAATCTTACATAGAATACTTATACTTCACAGAATACTTCCATATTGTACATCAAAGTCGGATAGCACTTGTTACAATATTGCTTATTGTACAGATGAGATCAATTCATTTCAAATTATTAAATCATTAATAAGTGCAAATAAATTCGAATTATGTTTGGAATGGTTAGAAAGCCAAGCATTCTCTTTAGAAATAGATCTTTCTATGGAGCAAGACTTTTTGATAGGCCTCCTAAAAAGTGAATCTCTAAACTTCAAACAAACATCAAAGGTAAAATAGAATCAATTATTATGAGTTATTTTATATAATTAATCTAATTAATGCTGTTCTTTCTTTCAGTTTCTTCAAGCTTTACCTTTGAAACAGTCGGTTAAATTATGCGAGACAATATTAAAGAAACTAGACTCTATCGAGCCAATGCAATTTATTTGCAATTATTTGTTAGAGCATTGCAAAGCAACTGAGACCGTCAAATATAGAAAAACCTTAATAGGGATTGAAATTTTACATATGTTAGAGACTCAGGAAAGAGCCTCGCATATTCATCTTATAAGTGAACCATTAATAATGTTAGAACAATTATTAATGAATTGTAAATTTGAAAGTGTTCAGAAAATACTAAACAAAATTACAAATAAATTGGCGCAAGTGGACATTTCGAGGGACGATTTCGATAAGATTATAAGATTTTATGCTCAGAAATCATTGGATTGTCGTGTTTCTTTGCAATGTGATTCTGTTGATGGCAAATTGAAACAGACACAGAATTTAGAAATGGAAAATAACGAATTCGTTATGCCTATTCTTGTTCCTACTAAAGAAGAATGGATACCTAATGACAAAGTATATAATTCAAGTTTGTTGTCTTGCATATTTATAATATAACGATGAGGTTTTTTTATTCTTAATTTCTTTCATTTCTCCAACAGGCTAGAAAATGCAGTTGTTGCAAGACTGTTATATTTTCCATGTTCAACAGACGACATCATTGTCGTAGATGCGGTCGTGTTATTTGTGGTCAATGTTCTCAGCATCGAATGCAAGTGTCTAGTTATCCGCCTTCCGTATTAGTACGTGTTTGTAATGATTGCAAACGACTGACAGTGCTACAAATGCGAGCACAACAAGGGTCACCATCTACTACTAGTAGCGAAACCTTTGATTGTTGGAAATTGACGACTGACAAGAAGCATAATGAATCTATTAAAGAAGAATTTTCATTTGAGTATGCGCCGAACATTTCTTTGTGTCTAGCCATACTTAATTTACATTCTGATCATAAAACGTACACCAGGTAACTGTTGTATCTATATATTATTATAAATTTATTACATAGGGTAAAAGTTTCTACATGACTTTCTAATAATACTTACAAGGGAACGTAATTTCGAGTGAAAGCAATTCTTATGAAAACATCCGACTTTATCTATCGACATTCATTTGAAAGATGATTCTTTATTTTAAAAAATTTATAGGAAAATATATATATATGCGTTGAATAATTTTCGGAATTATCCGTTACCAAAGTTACATAAAAATTAAGAAGTATCACTTCAATATATTCCCTTATTAGTAATATAATACAATTATTATTACAGTTTCTTGTTCGATCGCTGTGACGAGATGAAACATCTTTTACAACCTGTTACCGGAGGAAAAGTAAATCCAGAAGTAGATCATACTGTTATCATCAAAATGATACGTTCCCTCTTAGTTGCTGCTAAGGTTAAATGTGCCAAACTTGGTCTCAATAGCGGACTTATACACTGTGATCGTTTTCTGTCACAGGTAGATCTCATTGCCAGTTTAGTACAGTTCGACTGTCTGCATTTCATACCTTCGGACAATTTGCATGGGCATGCCTTGAGAAAACTCAGAGATCTACTAATCGAAAAAGAACAATGGGTCCTCGCATTAGATGTAAGTACCAAAGCAGGATTGGACACTCAAGGCGTCTGGGCAACTTGGGGTAAAACATGCTTAAAAGTAGGATACTTCGATGAGGCTAGAGAGAAGTTCGCCCACTGTCTTGATAAAATTCAACACGAAGAATTCGACGATTGGGTAATCCTATCATATTCAAAAGATTCAATGACTGAAATCAGAAGAAGAGATCAGGAGTCAATAGCTGCAAATAGAATTGATGAGGATATAGAAATTACAATGGACGAGTTAAACGTAAGAAAAACAGAAATCTCCAAAAATCGTCCGTTAAAAGATCCGCCACTACTAACAGAGATTCAACAAATATTGGACAATTTGAGTACATACAAGCAATATGTACAATATCCCCATCAGTACAAATCTAATGCTCCGCAAGAAATATCAATTGCCTTCGGATATCTTAAAGTGACAAATCAAGGACAAACAACTCCCAAAAATGCATTTTCAGCCATGCAACAGTTTTATTACTACGAGAGTCTTTATTATCTCTTAATGTATGGAAGTCTGAATTCAATTTTGGAATTCTTTTTAAAACACAATCAATTTCACGAATGCTTAACGTTTACTTTAAAAAATGACGTAGAACCCGATTTATTTTTCAATGGAATCTATTTATACTGTTTAAAGACCGGAGACACTGAAAAACTTCACGAAGCAATGAAAAATCAAGATTCCAGCCTGCTAATTTGGAAAAAATATTTAATACACGTCTGTTACAGCTTAGAAAAGAAACAATATCTACATATTTTGTATCAATTGCAGCTGTTTATGAAAGACTCTATACGCGCCGCAATGACATGCATCCGATTTTACCGCAATGAAGTAACTAACTATTCAGATTTATGCGCTAAAGGGCACTTTTTGCTTGAGGCTCAGAAACACTTGGAGTCTGAGCTGCAAATTGAAAGTTTAAACAGGAAAAGGAAAAAAAGTACAAGTTCCATACACAGTAATCAGGGGATTTTAACAATGGAAATGCAACCTCCCGAGATAGATAAACATATAAATACCATCTCTAGACAAATGGAAATTGCAAAATTTTTAGCAACCTGCGAGAAAGAGGGAAGAACGCCTGTTCAGTTTTTGAATTTGTTTCCGAATACAGATTCTGACAATGGTATAGCTACTGAACTACCAACTCTATTTGGCAATCAGCAGCAGAAAATAGACCTGGCTGTTCTAGCCATTCTCTGTGGGCGCAACATTGAAGAAGGATTTGGGATTGCATTCAGAATAATGCAAGGTTTGCAACAATTACACACTATATAAATACCTTTTGATATACTATAGCGTATTCATTCATATTAATGATGTATATACATAATATGATAAATACATATATGTATTTATTTCAGATTACAATCTACCACAACGGAAAGTGTATTCTTTAGCTGGTCATATCTTGACACTGAAATGCGATATTCCTGGAATAGAGCAATTGATTAAATGTTGTCATACTTCTGGAGTATCAAACTCATACTTCATTTCAGATTATGTTCTGACACACTGTGTAAAATTATTGTTGAACCGAGAGCATGGTGAAATGGAATCAGCTGTTAAAAATGATGTTCATATCCTAATCAGATTGATAACCGATATAGAACTCAAAGTAGTATTACATGTTATGGCATTTTAATTCTGTACAGTTCATCACGGTGACTTTATTTGTTTATTCTGTAAATTTTGTGTTTGTAGATAAATGCATATATTGAGTGCAAGCACTTGAAGACTGCATATTTATTGGCTGTTAATCATTCAAGAGCTCAAGATATAAGAAAAATTTTGAAAGAATCTGATAGACTTGGACAAACTACCGTTAAAGCGATATGCATAAAATGGCTTCAGCAAGAACCAAAATCATGACTCTAGACTATTTCGTAAAAGTAAGTAATATATACTTATGTTCCTTTATTATATTAGTCTTTGAAAATTTAAAAAAAAGAACATTATTTATTTATAC